TTATCCACTCACTTCTCCATCTGCTTTCACTTTTGTTTGCTTGGGCCGTCTCTCATCCCAACTTGATAATGAGGAATGCGGTGTGACCCTGACCTCTATCAGCCCATGCATGACCTTCTGACTCCCCCACATAACCTTTGACCTTCTCTTTGACAGCTTGATTAATTACCCTGTGTTATGATTTATGAGTAAGTGCTATGTAAAAATAATAGACAACAGGTGGTCCTCTAAAAACTTTTTGTGGCATGTTTTCTTTTCCTGCCTAACTTGATGAGCTATTTTAAGTTGGGGACTTAGTGGGACAATGTGTGTTTGGCAGTAACACAGCATTTTTACACACTTGGACACAGTGCTGGAATTCAGGCAGCTGAGGTGTAGCTGGGATGGAAATATCGCAAAGTATTAGCAGGGTGCAGTTGCCAAAATGTACATTGGGTGGAAACAGAAAGCGGAGTCAACTGACATTTCAGGCGTTTCAGTCTCAGGTCACGTCTTGAGAAAATTGCTCAAATAATGGAGGGGGCATTTTTCAAGCTGAGCTGCATCTCCAACAGCTATGTTTACTTTAACGCTTCACTAGTGACTTCTGATTGGTTGTCATGACCTCATCCCACTGTTGCACCTACGATGTCGCAACAGTGACATAAATGCACCCTTCTTGTGGAAAAGATGGGAAATGAACAGAGCATACATCTTTCAGAAAGATGAATGGACATTTCTGTGTCCATTCTAACCATGGGCGAATTTAAGAGCCGCGCAGTTTAAGCTGCATTTCCCCTGGGAATTAACTCCGGTCTTGCTGCCAGTGATCCAAATGGAAACCTGAACTTGAAAATTCAGGTTGGTAAAGCTTAGGAAAATGATCTCTTTCAGACCCTCTCTTGCAGCCCAAAAAGATAGTTACACAGGTCAAAAGATTCTTCTCCAGCCCTGACCTCTCTGGTCACATATGGTGTCCCATCTTGGTGGATTAATATGCAGAGCTGAATGCTTTCAGCTCATTATTCATGTGGCCAGGCACAAGAGATTTCAAAAGATTTCGCATTTACCTCAGATACTTCAGGGTTCTTTTTTTTAACCTTACCCTTGCTGTTAGAGGCAATAATTTTTGTATTCCTTCTCTTTTGGAACATCTTGCTTGAACTTCCAGTAAGAGGCAGAAAGTACCACTCCATTTCTGGCTTGTGCGTTACGGTGGAAAAGGCCCTTCTGTGTTGTTCTGACTTTGTAGTAAAGGTGTTGTAACAGAGATTCATGGTTCTTTCCAACACTTGACTTTGTCAGCCTGCTTTTCCTTTTGGCGTCATTTGCTGGCTAAATTATGGGTATTAATTATATTTGTGCACTGCTTGCACGCAGTCCTCTACCTCTAGAAGTAGTTACTTGGAGGATGCTGATAGTTAGTGTAGATGACATTTTACTTACCTTGAAGCATTAGAATTTGGGGAAGTAGCTGTGAACTGGGTGCTTTAGTCTTGAGAGAGAAACTGTATCCCCTGAACTCAGAGATTAGGGGCTGGGACTTGTATTTATCAGTGTCTGTCCTGATTATTGCGTCTCATCACAGATACACTAATGGGGGAGGCAGGCAGACCTTGGCTTCTGTGCAACATCTGTATTCTCTCAGACGTGTGGTAGAGCACGGGGCTTGGCTTGTTTCAGTCAGCTGAAGATTGATGGGGGGGGGGGGGGGGGGGGCGGGGAGGAAGGAGTTGCCCCAAAGTTTAGCTTTTTGACATGAAAAAACTCTGCACTTCAGAGAGTGCTTTCTCTTTCAGCATTCACTGAACACACAGGGAAAAAAACTAGTCCCCTATTACATACGCTGAAAACATACCTAATATTTTACTGGTGGTGGCAACCTTTAAAAGCTGTCCTGGATGGTGGCGCTTACTGGTGTCATAGGTCACTACATTTTAATAATGCTTTAAGATCATGCTATCTGAACTTGATATTTTTTGTGATATCGTGAGGTATATACTTCTGAACACAACTTTCATTTAAAAAGATACTTTTTAATGAATGTGATTTTGTCTTTACTTAACAGTCATGCCAAAGACTGCGTATCTTGCCTATTATTAAAGTTTGCTAAAGCCCTTTTTTTGGATATTAGTGGTCTTGTGTGCTCAGTTTTGCACTGACTTGCACTCTGCTCAACCCCAGTGAGTTAGTGAGGAGTTCCACTTTTAATTTTCTGATTACACTGAACTTTAATGGTACAGCTATGCCCACATGAAATACATTTTTTAAAAATTAATTGAACTTAAAAGCCACATTGAAGCCACATTGCTTACATAGATGTTATTTAGAGCTGAGTGTTCCCTTTCAGTAGAAAATACATGGGCTAAGGCTAAATGAGAGAGTTTGTAATTGGGTTCAATTTCACCAGTCATTTTGTTTTTCCATGTTGCTTTATACATGTTACTCTCAAATCTTCTTTCTGGTGTCATTGTTTACATCTTGCAATTTAGGATGCAGAAGTACAAGGGAAGGGGAAATACACAGTGTCATGTGAGCGAAACAATCTGAAAAGAGATTAATTCCCTGAGAGTCTTATGGATTGTAAGATATTTTTTTTTTTCTCAATTATGGGCAAACCTATCTTAGTTATTACTTAATTATTTCAATTGTACTGACAGGAAAGGCCTGCTACCTGGGAGAAATTTAAAAAAAAAAAAACCTGTAAAGGGAGACATGCTACACTGCTTAAAATATAATTGATAAAAATATTTTAATTGATTTATGAAATAGCGAATTTAAAAATGGAATCATATTTCATCTGTTGATGTCTCTGTGAAAAATTGACATTGTGTCCTGGTAAAATTGGACAAATGAGTCATGTAATTTTCAGTTACATAATCAATAACTTAGACAAATTCTACTTCTCTGATGATTTATGTGTCTGTTTTGTGGTCAGCTTAAAGTGGACACAGAGTTTCAAATCCCTGTATCACTTGTATACCTGTAATAAACGCATGAATTTTGCATTTGGCATTGTATAGAAAGCAAAACGAATCGATACGCAGAACTTCTCTGCTCAAAACAAGCGGGTCAAGAAGATGAACAGCACAGAGAGCCCCAAAACCACCAGCCTGCCAAACGCCGCGAAAACTTGGTCCTTCGCTGCCAGTAGCAAGCTCAAAAACCCACCCTTTCATCTGAGGCGTGTAATTTAGGGGCGTCTGTAAGTGGCATTCTCCCCCGTTGATGGATTTTGGGCTTTGAATTTTCCAAGCTGGAAATGTTACGTGTCAGTAGTACAGTGATATGTGTTAATATGACCAGCAATGGCACAGCACAGGTTTTAAACTCTGTTGTCTTTCATTTTTCCATTTTCCTTTGGCCTTCCCCCTTTGTTTATTTATCCGTTTGCCCGTTTGTTTATATTTATCCCAGTTCAGTTCACTCGGCAGGGAGGGCAGGGGAGCGATGTGACAGGAGACCACTTACTCACGGCGCCGCGTCTAGCGAGGAGGCAATTTTCTCTTTGGCCTATGGTGACCTTTTTTGACTACGTCCCTTACGCCAGAGACAGTGCCCTGAATGCCTCTATTTCACCCTGTTTAGCAGAGTGCAACCGTGCCCTTTAACTTGGTTTTTGGTGGGAGGAGAAGCTATGGCAGACGTTTGAGAAGGGCACAAGGACGAGGGGTAGGAACTCCCTTCAGATGCGATTTTGATAACTAGCCGAGTGTGTCCAACTGTAGAAAATCACCGAGTGACAATCTGTCTACCTGACAGTGGCCACAATGCGCTACAAGGTTTGTGAATGGCTCTACAGATTAGAATAAAGCAAGCCCAAATAAAGTATCTTTTGTTGGCGTGGGCTTGGTTTGCTCTGGCCAGCTAGGTACGGGGACCTCTTTGATCCTCGTGCCTAGCCCAAGTGCAAAACGAAGCACCAAGTGAAAAGCTGGAATAAAGCTGTTCAGCTAGATAATTAATATAGACGTTTCCAAAAAGTAAGTCTTTATTAAAATTTACTTTTAAAGGACAGCTTGATTTTTGACTGGGAACCCGTGGTAACTTTAAGGACTCATCTGTTAAATGCACGTGCTTCTCTTTTCTCCCTGCATTTGCGATTATATCTTCCACGAATATTACAATTCTTGTGTGATTTGCCATCATTTAAAAATCATAATAAAATGATTGGCTGATTTATTCAAGATTTATTTCTCATTCATAAATTCATGTATTTTTCAACCGGCTCATTTTCTGAGGCACAAAAATGCAGCTGGTATGCTCAAAAGCATCCTGCAGGTCACGAATTTTCTCTGGGTTTGTTGAATACAGGACATAATCTCAGTGAAGTTTTAGAGCAGATTTAAAGATGTACTTAAAAGTCACCCCCACAGTAAAAGAGTTGACTTGTAAGCAATGCCACTGAATCAGTTTTGGTATTGATTCATTGTTACTGCTATATTGGCTTCTGCATGGTATGCTTGTTGTCAGCTAGACAAAAGGGTTTACTATTTTAAACTGCGGTGAATAATTTTCACATGCTTTCTTTTATATATATATATATGTGTGTGTGTGTGTGTGTGTGTATATGTGAGATCCCTCCATCCTTTTCATTTTAGAGGTTTTTATTGGCTGGGTATAAAGCTTTTTATTCATCATTATGTAGAGTTCTTAAAATAATATTTTGCTTTTAGTTCTCGTACTGTTTTCTGAAAAAGTCATATAAAGTGCTTATGAATAAAACAACATATTAAATTATTTTAAAGGTAAAACAGGCAACTTTTCTGACGCTGAGGGATGTGTATGAGCGTAAGTGCACGCACAGACACATTCATACATCAATATCCCTTTAATGACAGAAATGAAACAAACAGAATATTCTTAAAATGCCCTTCTGTAAATTACGTTGTGTGAACTTGCTGAAATAAATATTAAAGTTTTTAAGAGCATAAAGTAAATGCAAAGCATTTTCCAGCACTAAATCTCCCTTTTCATATTTCTTCTTTTTTGTGCGTGTGTGTGTTTCTCTTCGAAAACAGGAAGGCTATGGAGTAATAGTACTGAATCCCAATGAGAACTATATTGAAGTGGAGAAGACAAAAGCCCAAGTACAGCTGTCTTCTGATAGCTCAGATGAACCTGCAGAAAAGAGAGAAAGAAAAGATAAAATCCAGAAGGAAACAAAGAAGCGCCGCGACTTCTACGAAAAGTATCGAAACCCACAAAAAGAAAAAGAAACTATGCAGATGTATATTAGAGTAAGTTTCTTTTGGTTTTCTTTGCCCTTCTTTAGTGAAGCATAGATATGTTTACCATCCATATTGGCTAATAAGCAGCATGCTTTTTTAAAAACAGACACATTACCGAGGTGGCATTCGAGAGTTCATACAGAGTTCCTGGCTCTTTATGCTATTGGTATTTTTTGTCACTTACTGAATGTGAAGTTTTGGAAGAGTTACAAAACATTCCTTTCTAATTTCAAAGGGGAACTTCAGATGAACCCCGGAGGAACTCACTGGTGCTATCAAGAAAGAGAATTATTTAAGGAAGACTTTATAAAAATTGTTTTATAAACAGAGGTGTACATAAGGCACACTTTCTAGTGCAGCTCAGGCAATATATGAGCTTCACTTGTCATGCATGCATTTATTGTATTATATTGTGTTATATTGAGGAGGCAGTAGTTATAGCCTGATAGTTTTTTTTAACATATTACCTGCTGAATTAATAATGTATTGTGGAAAATACCGGTGTTCATCTTGTGTGGTAGCAGATTTACCCTATAATGTACTGTTTTCATATGAGCAGCCATCCATTGTGTTTCAGCTGAACTTCTGAAGGCAGATAAAGGAGGAGAGTTATTAATATCTTAATAAATATTTAAGCTAGAATAGTTCGAGAATGGTGTAATGAGGAAACTCTGTCCCTTGCTCTTTTCTTACTCAGTGAACCCTTGCACTTTGTAATGCTACCAGCATGGGATCGTTATAACAGTGCTACCCGAGGATTTCTAATTCTGCAGGGGGCACAAACAATATTATTTGCACTTTGACACATTCTGCTTCATATACATACTATGCATTATACATTCGAGACTGAGTCATGCAATTTCAAAAGCTCTTATTATGAAAGTTAACATTTTCATTCAACTGTGAAACATGTCAGAAACACCACAGTGTAGTTAAAACAGTAAAAATGTATATGCCTTTCTGACGTGAAACAGAAAAATCCAGCAAAAAGATATGTTAGAGTCATGTTAAATTTTAACATGTTCCTATTAATTGTGGTTTAGCATAGCAGTGTTTGCAGGAGAAATACAGCCGTACTGGCTGGTTAAAAGGGTTTGTAATCTGGATGCGAGATTGTAGCTAACACCGTAAATATTACTGTGTCTTTCGAGAAGTATCTGAGTGTGGGAAACAAAAGGATGCATATACATATTCGAAGTCACCAACGGGGCACTCTTTTTTTCAATCCACTGCTTCTCATGAGAGATGCCATTCTGCCCACCGGCCAGACCCTGCTTCTTAGGAGGGGTGACCAGGCTTGTCTCAAGGTCCATCAGAAGCCGATGGACGATGTTTTTGTATCGTCCACAAAGGTGTTTAGTCAGCATGCTGGTCCAGCGTCCCCTTGTTGAAAGTGAACTTTTTTTTTTGATACCTTTTTATCACTTCCACTTTCTTGTGGCTCTTTTGCTTGATGAGGCATGAAATTTGGCTTCAGGAGGCTTGACCCCCGAAACATAAGACGCCTGACTCCATCCCATTTTCTTTTTTGCGTGCCTCTGTGCCTCAGATGTGACTGTTGACATTCTCTTTATTTGATTTTCTTCAAACCAAGGATAGAAGTAGCATAAGTTTCAGTGAAAGTGTGAGTGGTCATCTCCTTTCCTGGGCGAATTAACTGAAATTGGTTTTTCTGATGCGGTTGGTGTTTTATTCTGAAAGAATTCTTTGGGTTTTTTTTCTTTAATAGGCTCCAGTTCTTTGAAACAGCATGAAAAGCATCTCTGCTTTGGTGTGTGGCAGGACAAATCACTGCAATTTACTTGCCTATCGGTTTCTGAAGCAAAACTGGACTGACGATAGGGTGCCATTTACTCTGTTGGGCAGAACTGCCGAGTCTGTAGGTGGTTGCAGGAGGGGCTGTGAACGTGGCGTGCTCTGCTCCACCTGCCCGGCCACGGACACGGTTGTCAGTCCGTCCAGTGCATTTGCACGATGCAAACAAAATGGTGCAGCGCCGTATTGGTGGTGTGTTTCTTGCCTCCCGTGCTCGGGTCCGTAGCACGACGTGTCCTGCGGGAATTTGCACCCTGGGACTGGCTGCCGGGCTTACCACGGGCACGGTGCTCAGGCTGGTTTGGGGTAATCTCAAAGGGCAATTTAGATACAGCCTTTATTTACTGTGTAATATAGCATACGTTTGACTCACCGGGCTCTTGAAATAAAACATACTGTCACTCCACAGTGATATCTAAGGATGGTATGTGCTTCGTAACGATCTCGTCAAAATAGTTTTGAAAAACCTCAGCAAGCCTTATTGTCCTCTTTGCCAAGCAGGGAAAACTGGTACAGAAGAGACTAGGTGAAAAATATCCTCACAAGAAGGCATCAACTGCAGCTAATGTTGAAGTAAAATTTGTTTGTGTTAGATATGCTGGAGAAATTGTTTCAGACCGTTAAGTAGTAGGAATAAATATCCTCAGCTATGTTCTCAGAGGGTCATTGAGATCTGTTGTGATCTGATGAGAAAATGCCACTTGAACAAATTAAAGCTCTCTGGATGATGCTCCCTCTTGTGCAGTTAGATTTTCTGAGAACTGGAAGAATGGAAATGGTAAATTTAAGTATTTTGTTTATTTTCATAGAAGGAAAACAAATAGCTGGGATACTCAAGAATATGTAAAAGCAGAGTCTTAAAATATGAAATCTCAAATTGCACTCTATTTTTGTACAAAATGAGCACAAATAGAAATGACTATGGGAGTGTGTAGTGCATTAAACATAGTGCTTGAAAGATCAAAGTACATATCGTTTCATGCTGGAAGTTTCCTTAGCTATGAAATAATGTACTTTCTGGCATACATTATAGCTTGTTAAAGGGACTGATTTGGTCTGGGCAATAAACATCATGTCAAACATTATGGCAGAAAAACCTGCTTAATATGTTTTGTAATAAGACAGAATTTTTTGTTCTTGAAAACATCTGCCAACTGAATTCACGAGTGAAGACAGAAAATGTCATCAATTCAGTAACAATCTTAGAAATTTGGTTTCTTTTTTGTCGATGCAAACCGAGGAAAAAACTTCTTGATAATCAGCATTGACTATAATACTTTATGGAATGATTAAACAAAAGCATTTTACTTTTATATAACATGCTAATGAATGCATATGAATTTTAATACTCTTACTGTTCAGATTTTAACAAGCATATTGCCAGCAGATCATTTTAAAAGCATCTGTTTTTTAATGTGTTGAATGGAGGATTGAGTCAAATAGCTAAATATGTACATACATCCTTTTAAAAAACATATTTCTATTCTTACTTATAGATACTACCATTTTTTCTTAGACCACCAGAGGCTGCTGCTGTACATATTGGCTGATGCTTCCCCCCAGAAACTTCATACCCTAGCCAACCTTCATTTATTACTGAACTAAACTGAGAATTTGTTGATCTCTAACCTTTTTCTATGGAAACAGATCATACAGGCTTAAATGCGACATGATTATTCCTTCCATCCTCCGAGCCATCTCCCACTCCCTACAGATTTTCACATTGACAGTCTTTTCTCTATGTTAAAAGACACTTAGGAATGTAAATCAGTATTTATCCGATTCTAAATAGCATTCACCACTTAAACAAATATACTGAATGAATTCTGAAATGTTACTAAAGTAAAAAGTATAAATCATATCATTTTATAATAATAGTAATTTGCAATAATGTTGTTGCCACCATAGTCATAGGATGTGAAAGAGGTAACGAAGGAAGAAGTAGGAAGAAGTACTTTTATCAGAGCAACTGATGGGGTCAGGTTTTCTGGGCAAAAGGGATAAGCCTCTCCTAGGCCTCTACGCCACAAATTTTGTCTATTTTTTTCCACTGATCTTAGCTGCTTTGATAATTCTTACTGCAAATATTATTTTTACTATAGCACAATCTGTAACGGCGCTATTTATACTAACAGCATATCAATGAAATTAGATTAATTTTGGATGTAGCCCACTCCTCATAAATAATTTTTCCCATTTTCTGCGAGAGGTTAAACAGGAAACGATCGTGTGCAGCAAATTAATTTGTTTTGCTAAAGACGGGTGCATCGGGGTAACTTGTGCCAGCGTTCGGGAGAAAGCGGTAAAAGCCAGGTTTGTTAACAGGCGGCTAAGCGCGGCGCGGCTGCCGGCGGGCAGGGCACCCTGGTGGTGCGGGAGCCTGGTGGTGCCACGTTCACTGCTCGTTGTTCGGGCGCGGCTGACACCAGGGGGACGGGGCGGTTTCCCGGCGCGGCGGCCGTCCCCGGGCAGGGGCAGGGTCCCCCTGCCCACCCTGCGGCTGGGCAGGGTCCACGGCCGGCGTGGCCGGGGTGGCGTGGTGCTGAGACCCGGCTTTGGTAAGCCCTTTATTCCACCAGAAGAGACAAAACGACGACGAGCGCCAGGCAGACGGCACCCCAGAGGTCAGGGGCGTGCTCCAGCACACAGAAAGCCCGTGGCAGGCCTGGGCGTCAGGACTCGCACCCCCCGAAGTCTCAGCCCAGTGTTCATACTGCGATGCCTTTCCCCCCGCTGCCTCTGCTACAGCTGTAAGCGTTACTTTTACCTCTGAAATAACCCATGGTTTTACTTTGTCCATATTTACCTTTTACAGCCCGTTCCATCCTTACGTTCTCGAGAAATCCCTGTCGCTCCTAAGCAACGGCAGAATCATGCTGGCAATGGAAAACTCACGAGACCCGTTTAGAAACTACCATGGCTTTATTGCTCTTGCCCCACATACCACTGGGCGTTTGCACTTAAGAAAGAGCAGTTCAGGTGCTGGCATGTAAACGGGTAGTGACATTCTGGGTATTTGGGACACCTGGAGAGATCTGGCTGATGTCTTGTAGGACCCGCACCGCCCTGGCCCAGCAGCTGGAAGCCAAGCAGAGGACTCTAAATCATCTCCAGCATCACCGACCACCTACAGTTAGGCTTCCGCGTCATTCCTAAAGGGTCAGATAAGCTTTAAGTTCCTAAAGTAGTTCCTA